GATCAAGAGCATCGCTAAAAGTGGTCATTTTTGCTCGCAACCGTTCCAATTAGAACGGATTACTAAGAAAACCTAGCCATCAACAATTCGCCTTACTACCACCTCCTCAATCTACCCTACGTAGAATAAAAACTTGGCCAGTTGAGCAAAGGATCAAACTACTAATCCTGCTGACATAACATGCTGTTCCATGAATAATTGTCCCACCCATACAATGACACTACTAAATTGAGCACTCTACTTGCTGATCCTGCCTGCTTTGAAATAACATTAGCCTCTTTTCACTATCAGTTCATCAATTAGAAAATGGGAGTCAAGAAAACACCCACCGCAGCCAACTGTTTAAAAATGTAATTATTACTTACTGGCTTAAAAAGCGCATGAGTTGCAGATTATAGAACGGGACAAAATCAACCATCTCGAAAATCAAACCTTTATTAAACTTCGTCGACAAAAGGTGCAGATTCCTTTTTCATGCAACTTGGTCTCTGTACCACAGACCAGAACCTTTCTAATGAACAATCTAATAATAAACCCTAGACGAGCAAATCATAAGTTTGAAAACCAAATATACTTTCCAGTAGCTAAAAAATAATATACAACAGTTCTGGCTTACTAAAAATCAATTTAAAACTGTCTTGCTGGCCCGAACAAATTTCCAAACCAAAAAAACAGCACCGAAAACAAAAATACTGTTGCTAACATAAAACCAGTTTGGCGGGATGATATTATGAAAGAGACTACATGAATGAAGAACACTACGGTAATAATTAATGAGAAGTTATCAAAGTTTGAACTTAAGAGGTCAATCCAGAGAAATATTTGAAAATACTATAGAATGACGACTATGAATTACAAAAAAAATTTCCAACTGCCAGTTTAAAATGTTGAAGTAGATATTGCAAAAAAACGATATAAACGTAAAATCTTATTTAAGGGTAATCTTTCTACAAGCTAGTTATTAATAACCGTCTCACTTCACTTAATTATTATTATACTTCTTCATTTGCAGCAACACGTTTGTAGTAAGCCAGTTCAGCATCTTCTGCTCTTAACCCGAGTCCTTCAGAGTTTCCAGACAAATTACTTGAATAAATATAAGTACAGTCAGCCCCATCACATCTTATGTTCTGTGACTGTCTAACCTCAGTTTCTGTACTACTGGCACAACCGCTGAAAGGTTCTTCTTCGATATCTTTTTCTCTAAAGAATTTTGAACGCTATAGCAATACAAAAGACGTATAAATGATGAATGAGCTAGATTACGAAACCCCTGGCAAAAAAAATCGGCTTTTTAACAACCTTAAGCAAAAATATTTATGCTGAGATACGTAGCAGTCAAGTCTTTTACTCTTTAACTCCGAAACTTTATGAATGCAAAAAAATAATTGAAAACAATTAAAATGAGGCAAATCTCACTTTAACAGATACATTAAATTCCCACTAGTAGAGTCACAGCCTGATTCAGGTATTACTGACATATCAGAGCCTGAAATTGTTAACAATTGTCAACATTAGATATTTAGAAGAAAAAGCAATGAATCAATCTGAATTCGAATATTTCGAAAAATCAAGAAAAATTTAGACATAAGAATATCTCACTTTCTTTTGATTCGCAACAGCGACCACTTTTAAGGTCCTCGGTAGACAATCCTCCAGAAACCAGAAAATCCTATGAAAAAATAAATAAAAAAGATACATGTCGAAGTAGAACAAGCCATAACACGAGTGAAATCTTTAAATAAAATTAAAGGCAGAAAAGAAATATTAAAAAATGAATTTTTCCAAAAGTAAATTTTTTGGGTACCGTATCTGGAATAAGAGAAAGGTAAGTGCTCCTGACTCGGGAATCTTCCAAGTAAGAGTGTTTTGGAGCACTTTCGCAACACTGAAACAAGTACAAAGAAAAAATAAACAAAAATGGGGACAAGTGAATAAACCTTCGTAAAACCATATAAAGAAGGTAGAATTCAGTACATCAGGAAACTTCTTCAAGCGAATGAAAACATTTGTTTGATGGGACCGAACTCGTTCGGGGTTAAATTCAACAAAACCATATGGGTTTTTGCAGGTCTCAACTGTGCAACGGCAAGGAAAGTATGCCCGTTCATTCTAAAAAGTATAGAACCATTAGGTTACATTATAAGACTGATAAACAATAAATACCGCGACAGATGACATTAAAATAGTTTAGAACAGCAACTACAGAGAATGAAAAAAACATGACTTTGAAAAATGAAAAAAAAAAAAATAAAAAAACTAAAAAACGGTATGAGGTAGCCTTCTCCGTAAAAAACTAATAAATTGTAAATTTATTTTTCATTCATTTCTCCTTTCAGAGACGATTACGATAAAAAAGTTCGGTTAAGCAGTCTCAAACGGCAGTAAAACGAAATCGTACAACATTCCCCCCCTTCCCCACTTATCAAAAACTAAGTAATTAAACTAGCCCCCATAGAACAAACAAAATCTGCAGGGAGCATCGAAGTGAATGAAAACTATCTCGGTTGTATCTTTACAGCTGTAATAGATCACGCAATTACCTGACAACAAATTTCTTCTTTAATACACTCACAAGACTCTGAGGTGCAATCCCCATCTTTACACAAACACCCACATGATTCTCGGCTTGTTCGAATAAAGTTACAGTCAACACGATCATTCTAAAATCACTCTATACTAAACTACGCCGATCACGAGCATTTCACCACCAATCTTTGCTTATACCTTCATGAAAATTTCAAAAAATCATTAGAAACCTGAACATAACAACAGCACATGCAATTTTTCTGAAATAAAGCTAATACCAAACTACAAGTACTGACTTTATCAACCTGTACACCAGCTTCTCGCAAAAGACGCCGGCGGGTTTTTTCATTCAGAGGACTTTTGTAGAAAGCGGACGAACAGAAAAAACTTGACGGATATGGATCCTAGAAATAGCGACAGACTGAACTTTTGTATAAAGCAAGACTGACCTTCAATTATTAAATTGAAAATACCTCCTCAAGTAGTTTTTCATTCTTTTCATCCATGACGTTGACACTGTAAGCTGAGAAATCGCCATGCACTAGTCCTCCACGGTGCGTTTCATCAGCGTGCTGCACATGGGGACCTAGTATAAACAAAAAATCAAAAACAGCGCTCGCTAATAAAACTGCAGTAGAAATTAGAGATAGAATATACAGCTAGTTAAAAACAGTAATAGTGACAAACCCTGAGCGAACGCGTGAGAACTAGAGGAACTTGCTCCGTCGGCACCTGAACCCTCGTCGAAACACCAATGATCCTTGAAATTTTCAAACTCAAGAATTTTAAAAACTGCAGAAGGCCGTCCTTTCGAAAAAAATAATTTGAGAATTATTTAACCACTGGTTCTTTAACTAGAATTATTTTAAAAAAAAGAAATTAGAGAACCAAAAACACCCAAACAAAACATATGGTCGAAAAAGCCACTTTCCATTCCAACTTTACAGTTATTTACACTAGCTAGTAACAATCTGTCATCTAAAGAAATAAAATCGAATTGACCAAACCCCAAACCACTAAAAAAAGACAAAATAAAATATAACACTTCTAAAGAATGCCACTAAGGCTTACCAGAAATCGCATTTTTCTTCACCAACGAAAGAAATTTTTAGATTTACAATCTTAGTTGGCAAATTTTACAAATTTTCATGTACTTTTCACGCAGTTCTGATGGTAAGCCTTTTCTGGAAGTTACACCAAAAAAAAAAAAACAAACAAACAAATATATGTCAGTTAAGCAGCGCGCAAAAACTAAAAGCCGTGGTTTACGCTGCTATGACTTAAAACGTTGAAAAAAAAATCCTGACTGAAAATTTACAATAAAATAAACTACTGTTTTAATAGGTGCTCAAGATATCAGAATGCGAAGAAAGTACAAATTGTACCGCCTCACTTTCTGACCACAGAAAAGTATTCACCTGAAGACAAAACTGGAAAGATAAAAATAGAAAGTAGCTGTGGAAAAAACTTATAATTCCGAAAGAACGAAGAATGTTAAATTTACTTGCAATTTAAAAATTTAGCTGCTTGAATGCCTTAAAAATTCAATTTTGGATTCAAACTTTGACAGCAGTTGCATCTGTAAAAAGGTACAATTGAGTAGAGTAACTAATCGAAAATTTCGCTTAATAAATCTAATAAACAAAACCTGTCTTGCACTAAGAAATAACTCATGTTCCGCAACAGATATCCTTTTCACATCATAATGTTTCCCATCCATGCCTGAAATAGTTTTATAATGGCACTCAGAAGTTTTAGAATGAATTTCTGAAAATGGAGTGGAAACTTCAAAAATATTAAAAAAGTATAAATTATCCATTAGGAAATCGTACTGTAAAAATAAACTAATCAGCAGAAAATGGATTTGAAAAACAGCTACTCAAAATAAGAAACTCCAAAGATAAACGAATAAAAGAACTAACCTAAAGCAGCCCCGCCCTTTGTAGGAACAGTGTCAAAACTCTGAGATCTTTCAAACAAGAAAACATCAACATCTTTAAACCGTACTTTTTTAGCTGTTTTTGGCCCTCTAAAGTTTCAGCATTAATGCAAGTTTTAGAGAAATACACATAAAATAAAAATAGCGCTTGCATTTGAAAATACTTATTATTCATCACTAAATCCTCTCACTTCCCCAAACAATAAAAGAGGAATTACCATGCTTCACGACCTTAATTAAAAAGTGGATAAATGCACGACAAATAAAGAAAATAGCTAAAAAAGACACATTACCATCTATCATTCTCTTTAAAAACTTTACAGAACGTTTAACATTAAGAATTAGCAATCGCGAACTCAGAGTTCAGTTAAAAGTAGAAGGTATAATTCGGCACAAACCCTGATATTGGAGACGCAGAAGGAGACTCTAGCAACGGAAAAAACTGAGTTCTTTCTTTTACTGGTTTCGGAGTTGAATGCGTTATTTCGTGGTCAGGACAAAAAGGTGAAACCAAAGAGCTTGGAATATCATGAAAACTTCTTGGGCCTCTTCGTGCAGGAGACGGTTGTAACCCCAGAGAATCAAATCTTTTCATAACCTTTTTTCGCGACCTTTGCTTCTTGATGCACTTAACAAAAAAACAATAAAAGAAGCAAATTCTGTATCAGACGACACACTGACCATGGATGGTGCAAATATGAATTTTAAGAGCTCGAAAGCTGTGCAAAACCATAAGTGAACGCCAAAAACGCTAAAGTGATGCAAAAAAGTAAGAGAGCTAATAATTATTTTACTTCAGAACCACGCTCATCAAAATCTGAAGCAGGTGTCAACTCCGCAAGGTTTCGCTTCCTCGCCACAGCCTCATTCTGTGCGCAGCTCCCACATTCCACCTTAAAACATAAACAATAATAAATCCAAAAACTGAAAACTTTCTGCAGCTACTCTAAAAGTTTTGTCATCAAAAAATTGACTAAACAAGGATGTTAATTTACATTAAAAGAAACAAGACAACTGAGTAACCAAACGTGAAAGTCCAATCTCTAAGATCTTAATTTTTGAATCACCAAAAACAGCACTCAACGACAATGAACCAATGATGACTTCTGTTGAAGAGGAGCAGAGCACGTGCTCCAAAATTTTAAATCTCCATATTACAACACCACTAAAAACTTGACGTTCTGAATAAAGAAACTCAAAAATGTCCACCCGTTACTTTTTTAGATAGATTTTTTTAATTCTTGAGAAAAATTATCTGACCTGCAATAAATCAAAGATTTTTGAGGGTTCCCTAAACTTACAAAAAATCTTACTTTAGACTGACTTGAAGCGAAGTCTCCCTACCAAAAAAAAAAGTAAGAGATTTCTCCACTCACACTTCTCACACGCAAACTTGTACCTACAATGGAAAGCAATCAGTAGTGCACAGAGGTCCAGAACGTGAAGTAAGGGAGCGATCATGGAGTTGTCAGAGCAAAATAAGGAGAAAAAAAAAGAAATTTATTCTGAAGCACTTCACACAACAAACACTCTCATATGTACGACCATCAAATCAGATTTTAGCCTTGTCGCTGCAACTGAAATTGATAAAAATTAGTACTAGCGCTATAGCAGTTGCGTGTGACCATCCCCAGTTGTGCCTTTTTACCACCAACCTACTTTCACTTTTTGTGTCTAGGATTATCCACTTCGCCTGACTCATCACCAGTAATTCTAGAATTATCTGTTTAAGTCTCCCAACTTATTGTCGATCAAACGCTAGAGTTCTGCCTTAATCCCTCCAGTGCTTCACAAGACCATATTCTTGTTAGCGCATCAACAGCAGCATGTTCTGTAGCTGCGCAATAATGGGTTGAGTTTTCATGAAACCTACTTCCTTCAGTCCTGGAAGTATTTCTACTATTCTAATATTGCTTATATTTGAATCGTCATCGTAGTGTACACCTTTCAGCAACAGCAGTAGACGAAAAAATTTACTCAACAATAATTTCAAAGTGTATTCAAGACAGTTTAAATAACTGAATCAGTTCTCTAGGTCAAAAACAAAAAGCGGTACTATATTACAAATAAAGCAAGAAATTTCTCTGATATGTATGAAATGAGCAAGTTTCAAAGAGTTTTCCCGATTAACTTCTTCCATCAACAGATAAAATAAAATAATAAGTTCTACTTACACAGCTAAAACTTCGTGATTACACAAGTATTTTTAGGCAAACCAGAAAACGGTCAAGAAGTCTGAGAACAGTAAATAGAAAGCCTGAATAAAAAGTGACCCCCCCCCGCAGGTTCCAAGTCATGTAGTTAAAAAATTCAGTAGCTACCCATTATACTCTACGCGTCACCGATTCGTCAGTTATGAAACACCACACGAATCACAGCAAAACTTTAGCACTAGATCGCCAGAAAGTTAGCAAGAAATATACGAATAAATCAGTTATCATAACTAAATTGAAGGAAAAAAAAACAAAGAAAGGCTTAATGAAAAAAAGAAAAGTCTGTGGGAGAGTTTACCTAGCTTACAGCATACAGGATATAGTGTGCTATGAAACAAACAGCTAAAAAGTTTTCGAACTACCCTAGTTTCAGCACCTCAATTACTAAACATCTGACATTCAAAAAGCACTGTCTACAACTCTACAAGATACAGTAAAACTTTTAACCTCCTTTTTCCCCTCTGACTCGAAAGGTTGAACGTCCAGAGCTGCTTCCGACATTGGAACAACATACAGCAGAATTCACCCAGCCCTCTAAGCAGACCTAACCTCTCAAAATCGCCATCCTCGTGTACTCATAGTCCTTAAAGCAAGATTAAGATATATAAAAAATAAAGGAAAATAATACTAGAACACAAAGTAAACTCGCGCAAACGAATTCGATTTACCGGACACGGTGAAAATCGCCAGTGTACAGCTCACAATGCATAGTTCCCGCAAAACTAGATGCTGTCTACCTCCTGGCAAATTCCCAGAGATTTCAAACGTAGAAGCACTATATAAAAGTTTGCGGTCGTTCTGCTACGCCAGTGCTGGGTTCTGTTCAATTGCAACGCTAATGACTCTTCCCTATTGGCTCCCTATCAAAATTAAAGTTAATGATGTTGTTAGAAACCAAATCGTTTAATTTGCCCTCTGGAAGACGCTTATGATTTCGGGTTTTGAGAGGTGTTGTTCGCGCTTCGGCATTGTATCCATGTTTGTCCAGTAATTAGTCAGATGTCAGTCCAGTGTTTCTGACGGTCTAACGCCCTACTGTTTTTCTTTTTTTTCTTTTCTTTAATTATCTAGATGACTTAAAGCCCTGTTCTTCCTCTGAATGAGGTGGCTTTAATGAGGTGGTTTTACTTAGAGTTTGCTGGCGGCGGCACACCCTGAGCAAAATTTCAGAAGGGGGGAATTTTCAAAAAATTTATTTTTTAGAAAAATTGACACTCGGCCCTTGAGACATATGTAGTGAAAAATTCTAAGAAAACTTTAAAAGACAGAAAAATCAATTGAACATTGACAAAAATAATATGTGTATCGAACTTTTTAATTATATGGAAAGACTAATTGCATTTTAAGGTATGTAGTTACTAAACCTTCGCGTCAGGCGAAGATTTCTTTACGAATTGGATGTTTGGGATTTTTAAATTTTAAAACCCTTCTTTCCAACAGCGGGGACGTTTTTGGGAACTTAATGGTAAGTTTCTGATTGGCTGTAGTTTTGTCGGTTTTTTCAGCCTGGTTGCTACTTTCATGAAGAAAGTGAGCCGTAATAAGTTTTGTTACAAATTGTGACTTCTATAATAATTGTAGTTTCGCAGCTCCAACATGGTTTAATATTGATGTGAATTAACTGTTCCCTTCAGCCCGGTAATTTTTGATAGGGCCGGCATAAGCCTTACAGGCGATGGATGGTTTCAAAGTGGCAATCGGGGCTTTGACTGGTGATTGAACAATGCGAGATTTACAGTTGATTTGGGAAGTTGCGCTGACGTTCCCGTTTCAACGAATCTGAAAGTAAATATAAAAGTATAACGCGAGCGGTCGTGAGTGAGAGATGGGGTGTCGATAGAGTCAGTGAAGTAAAAAGAAGATCAAGAATACTATTGCAACCGTTGAACTTCTCTTTTTATTTTTTCAATTCCATATGTACAGAACATTAAAGTTTGTCCTTATTTATTACAAGCATTTAAATATGTTAAACAACTTCATCGTTGTCAATAGGTTTATCAAACACCAGTACGAACTACTGAATGAAGTCTGTGACTGAGTGATTCCAAAGAATCTTGAAAAATATCTAGAAAATAATTAAAAAGCTATATGACTGGCACAAGTGGCAGCTTTGTTATTTATGACACCAAATGACACCTACTATAACTTTGATAAACGCATAACTTTTTATGACGTTTTTTTTATAATTTTATAATTTGGGCATGCCGATTCCAAACAGTGTCATTTGAAACTTCTAATCGAAGAATTACTCCATGACTTGACAATTTTGCTGACCTATCTGTGGTATGCACGAGATTCGGACTGTAAAGTATTAGTCATGAATCCTTTGGAGTTGCAGCTGCGCTGAACAATCTTCAGCTAGAAATTTGTTCCGATAAAAGTAAAAAAGAAAAAGCTGAGGTGACTGAAATAGATCGCATAAAACACTTTTATTTCCCTTGCAAATGCAAAATTACCATCTCTTAATCACAGTCTTGCCGTACGGAGATAGCGGAAAATGATAAATGCTCACGACTTTTTACAAGTAAATTTTGCAGAGTAAACCGATTGAACTAATCTATAGAAAACCTCTGTCATTACTAAATTTATCTAAGAACATCTGAGATTAATTAGACTGGTTTTTAGTGATAGA